AAATAACATAAGCAAAAATAATCAAAGTAAATTATTTCAGTGGGAATAAAATGCAGGCATAAATATGAAGCTGTAATGACAGAAGGTTGACAGAGGTTGACGACTACAGAAGAGAAATAAAGACTTCTTTTTCTCCACACATGCACAGCAGTACAAAAGTATTTTTCTACAAGAGTATCATTGAAAGTGAATTAGTTGGAAGCAAGTGTTGAATATATGCCGTGCATATTTACTGAAATAATCAGGTGTACACCCATTCTTTTGTATTACACTCAGAAGAGAATATTCCAGACTAAGCCATCACTAGGCCTGCAGTTTAGCATTGTGTTTTTGCTAGGAATGTGTCTATTAAAAAAAAGAATTAATAATCACACATTACTCAGTAAACAGTAAAAGGTTCTGCATAGTAGCAGAACAGACAGGTAAGCACAAACATACAAAGTTTGTATACTGTATGGCATTATTAAAAGCATATGAAATATCCCACAGTTAAAACAGAACCACTGTGTATAAGTGGTTCATACATGCAGCAAAACAATCTAGGTGTTAACTTGCTGCTTAAATCTTAAACCAAAGTAACGCTACTTTCATCATGTAAAACTTAGACTGCATAATGATTCCAGGAATCAAAAACAATTTCTGAATTCATTTTGGCTTTGTTTTATTTTAGCAAAACTTTTCTTTTACAAATTGGAGAATTGTGCCCATATATCAACAAACCAGAGCAACTTACAGTTAATGGAACCACAAATTGTTTTCTTAATGAGTTATTGTGGGATGACAAATCTATTTAAACCACTAAACTGACACAGTTGCATCCAAAATTAGGCTATGCACAAGCTCCTCCAAAAAAACCAACCCCAAGAATCATGATAAATGTTTACTTTTAAGATGTGATTTTGGGATGGGTTTTTTTTTTTTTTAGTCTTATCAATATTCTGAATGGAGGAAGAAGTTTGTCTAAGGGAGAAACCCACTCAAATCCATGTAAAAATTGCTGCAAATGGGAAAAAATAGGCTCTCTTTCTCTAGGTCTTCTCCAATGTCTTATTCTTGACCTTAGTCAACGCTTTAACATTGCTGGCTTTTTGAGATTCATTTCCAGGTCCTTGGGTATGGATAAGAAATAGATCAGGCTACTGAACAACAGAAACCTCTAGCCATGCTGTAGTTTTTGCAGTATTTCTAAATACATTAATGGTGAAAAAGGATGGATGCAGCGATGAAAGTCCTCAGGTACGGGTAAAACTGGTGGATTTCTAAGGTAGTGCCTAGGGTGCCTATGCTTCAAAGGCTATACAGGAGAGAAGACAGAGCTTCTGAACAAGACGTGCAAAAAAAAAAAGCCATAATTCTGTGGCCGTCAGCCCACAGGGCTTAGGCAGTACGTTCCTTTGGATTTATAGCCCCCAAATGCTTCCAAAAATTAGGTTTCAACATCCCCTCTTTCAAAAACCGAGAAGTCACACTTTTCTTTTTAAAAATAAACACAAGAAACAGGATAATACTGCCACTGCATTCACAGTTGAGTGGAAGCTATGTGGGGACCCCAGATACCACAGTTTTGGACTTGGACAAAAAAATGCCATACAAATTTAGTCCAGCAGAATATGCATTTTGCAATGATGAAGAAGGCCATACCTTTTTAGGCAGACATGCTGGAAAAACTACCAGTCCTCTAAACTAAGATTAAAAAACAGGACCACCAGGATTTCCATAGGACCCTATAGATACATATAGCCTATTATTCAATGGATGTTGGTGCCTAAAATTCACTTCCACAGTTCTGGTACAAGTAAATTGCATTCCAGAACAGGTGGGTGGAACTGTGCCAATACCCCTAGAACTTCCAGCAGGAACACAACTAAAAGACACTTCAGAACAGTTTGTTCATCTTCCTAACCCTGTTGTCAAAGAAGGGATACTATTTTAACCATTGTGCTATCGCTAGAGAAGCACAATTTTTATGCACAAAGCTTCTGGTTTCTCTAAAAACATCATGCAAAAGGTATTTTTCAAGGCTACTTCCAATATGAAGAAGCTGCTTTGTTCAGAGCCTGTAGTTTAGAGACTCTCAGTATAGTTGCAGATGTGGAAGTCTTACATTTTAGTACAGTTAGGGTTACTAACATCTTCACACCAAAAGGAAATTAAAGTACACCAAAAGCCGTATCTCAGAGTAGTACTGTCATTGCCAAATGCATTTATCAATTTTCACATAATGCTTTTAACAATTTACTAAGTGGTACATTTTAGCAGCCAGATAGCTCCTCATGTTTTTAATCTAATTAACCTACTCCAACCGGAAGTTTTATAACATAACTTGTTGCTCTTCCTTTTGAACAATATTGTTACACTTTTCAAGACACTTATGATCACATCCTTCCTTTTTACTTTTGTGCAGTTAAACTGGGAAGAGAAATGTATTTTTATACCACATCAGACAGCAACAAAACTTTAATAGCACATTTACAAGGAACTGTATTCACCAAGATTCTCTCACCTATCAGGAATG